AAATTACACTGAGGGAACTCTCCATAGATGTCTGTTGGTGGATTCTACCAGACCTACTGCCTGACGCTTAGCCCATTGCCCACCTGCATATCTAGCTGTGGGATCAACACGTAGTGTTGAGAATTTTCTAGCCTAAAAGGTGGACAAAATGGTCCAGTGTGGGAAAACCATGCCCCGTGGCGAGGTGCCCTCAGGTCATGTAAAATGTCATTTAATTCTTGCAAGTTCAACCTTGGCATTTTTGAAACAGTTCCAGGATACGACACTTACTCAAGTCTGTGTAGTTGATATAAATTCTAATTACCGAATTGGAAGTTGGAGTAATTAGGGCAGACGTGGTAACAAGCACTGAGCACTCCTTCCATCATCAGTGCGATCCCCATAGCATAGAAGAGACCAAAGTGTTTGGGAATCCCATACTCCTGAAAAAGGGGAAGCATGGTCAGTGGAAAGATACTCATTAGTGACCTAGCCACAGAACCAGGAAGCCCGTGCTCTGGCCTTGTGTGGTTTGTTACACACGATCCATCGTCACACCATCTGGCCAGATGTCCCTGCCCTCCACAGATCCTGTTTGGAACCATAACCCTCCCTGGCTGCCACCTCCACCGACCCTCTCCTCACCATGGCGAAGATGTCCTTGGCTTCCAAGGCTCTTCGATGGAGAATGTCCTGGCGTAAGACTATCAGCAGGAAGAGCAAGCCCAGGAGCACGTGGCCCAGGTTGCTGAGGATGTTGTTGAAGGCACTAAAGCGATGAGAGAGAACATGAGAGAGTCAAGCCATCAGAGAGACTCAGAGACTGAACGGAGGCATGAACGAGAGAGTGAACTCAGCATTCTGTGTTTTCCACTGATAACCTTTTCATAAGATTTCAGGACTGAAAATCATCAGAGATCATCTGTAACCTAACTCCGTCATGTTGGGAGGCTTCGCCTGTGATAATGAGTCCGATAACACCTTTGGGCTTCCCTAACACCCACCCAGTCCTCTCGTGTCCTGGTGGCCCTGGCATGGAACGACTCCTTGGAAAGAGAGTCTCCCCAAAGACCGGCAGTTTGGCTGAGTGTTTCAGCTGCACTGTGAGAGTGAATTCACATCGATGGACCCATGTGATGTGTCAGTGCTCAGCTCTGTAACTGTGAGTTTCAGGATGAACATCTGGTGGTCACAGCCAGCAGATTTATTTCAGGAAACTGAGGCTAGTTCGGGTCTGGAACAAGAAGCCAGGCTCCCAACTCCCAGGCAAATGCCTTTCCTACTTCACCGTGTTCCATTGGCTCTGGCCTTGGAAGCAGCAGCCCAGGGGTGAGTCCTAATGCCACTAACAGCTGAGGGACCTTCAGCAAGTCCCTACCTTTCTAATTAAGCCTTAACATCTTCACCTAAAATGGGGGTAATAATCGTCCTATCTGCCTCATAAGGTTGTTTAATGGATTGAAGGGACTGGCAGCTCATGCCCATGGACATGGGTTATCACGTCTATGGACCCGATATATTTTCAAATACATCCCTGCCTTCTTAGGAATGAATGTTTCCTGAGGCCCCAAAACCTGGTCTCAACTTCCTGGTTTCGTTCCTCTAGTCTCTTGATTGGGGGTTTTCTACAAGGGCTTCCAGTGTTTTTAAAAACTGAAGCCACCACTTTACACAGAAAGGCATCTCTCATTGCCTCACGGCAACCAGAGGACTGGGCTCACCTCAGGACGCCCAAGGGGTGAGCACAGAGGAAGTTGTAGTAGCAGATGTCCTGGTTGCCGGTGATATTTACCACCTGTAAAACCAAGAGTGAGAAGAGGCAATGCAGTGTTTGTCCGTCCCCTGAGCCTGAAATCACAAAAAGCAGCCAGTGCTCACCGTGATAACCTGTCAGTGATTTACAGTGTAACCAGTGCTCCTTCTCAGCAGGAGATGGGCTGTTACCTTCCACCTCTACGTGGAACAGACACATTTCCTTTAAATGCTACCATCTTGCTTTGAATTGAAATAGTCTATGTCCCTCATTATGTGGCTTCAGGGTAGAATTCAGCTAAGTATGATTCCTTTATTGTCATTATAAAAAAACTTTGAAAGGATGCTAACATTGGGACCTGCTTATTAGGACTATCAGGGTACATTCCTATTTTCTCGATGAATCCTGGGAGGGTAAGGAGTATCCCATCCTCTGCATGGAAATGATAACCACAGGGCGGGTAGACACGAGGAGGGGTGTGGTCAGTTTTCCATATTTATCACTATCTCTATCATTGAGAACCTTCCGGGGGTGGGGGGTGAGAGGGGAATAGCTCAGTGGTAGAGCATGTACGTAGCATGCACAAAGTCCTCGGTTCAATCCTTAGTACCTCCACTAAAAAAAAGTTAATAAATAAAATTTAAAATTAAAAAAATAAAAAAGAACCCTCTCAGACCACATCACAGCTGTATCTTCTGACAGAGCCCCGAAGTATTGAGGGAATATTTGGATTATAAACTGTGGTGCTTAAACTTCATAAAGTCCTTGTCCTCATCAGGTGTTAAGGAATTGGTGAAATATTGTGAGACTGTTGGCTCTCAGACTTGGCTGTCCACTGGAATCACTGGGAGTTTAATCAATACTGATGCCTGACTCCCCTGTCAGAGACTGATCTCATCTGTGTGGGGTACAGCTTGGACACTGGGCTTTTAAAAAGTTCCTCAGATGATTTTAACGCACAGCAAAGTTTGAGAGCCATTGCATTAGAAACATCTTTAGTCTTGTGTTATTCTAAGTGGGCTTTTTCATGTATAGCAGATCCCAGTGAAGGCTACTTAAGCAACCTGGACCCTAGGGTTCTATGAAGGTGCAGTGGGATTCTTGAGCTGTTTGAACTATTATTTGTGTTTGTTTGTTTTTTTTCTTTATTTTAGTGTTTATTGTATATTTTCTTTTAATATATTATTAGTTCTGTGAAGCTGTTTTTACTTTTACAAAAAAATATTTACCCTCAATGACAGAGCACAGGCTACATGAGACATCAGGTTTCTTTGCTTTTGTCTGGAACTTTATTTACTCATCATCCCATGTTGACCAAAAGTTCAGACTGGTTAAAAATAGACATAGTTGATAGATACCAAGAGTAAATGAGTGCAAGGTAATCATTTCAGATTGGTAGACAGAATAATACAAGAGGCCCCAGGTTCCTCTGTGATTAAACAGTCAGGAGCTAGATTTAAAGGTCAGTCAAAGACGAAGCAATGGGGAAATCCAACGGGAACCCAAGTGGGGAGTTAATTCTCGGACAGGGCTCAGGTTATACCTTCCTCTGTAAGTCACAGCAAAGATCTCTCCCTGCGGTATAAAAGCTGGGGCTCCTGCTTTGGGCAGCACTTACTGTCTGGTAGGTGATGACAAGCTGGATCACGGGCAGTGCATAAAACACAGCGATGGTAATGATGTTCCTAGGCAGGCAGAGAGAGCCAGAAACGGTTATTTTCAGTTAACAACGGAATCTTGGCTTTTTTCAAAGACAATTCCTCCTACCCTATAACTCCCTCGTTAACTCACAAAAATAGTTAGAAACTGGTTATGCAGTTCCTCCTTCTCCAGTCTTCCTCTCATACAATCATTTTCAAAACAATGTAAATAATACTTGCTTCTGGTTTAACCAAATTATTCATGAGGTCCTATCTCTCTAGGATATTATTAGTTTAAAAATGATCAGAGAGTAGGGGATGGGTGATGGATCACACCAAGGGGATGTGGCTCTCTTAAGATACATCTCTTAGTTCCTAAATGATGGTCCCACTATGGAATTCCGTGTGGCCCCTACTGCCTCTTGTTTCCCTCTTATCTGTATCCACAAGAAAGGGCCTCCTCCCAGGGAAAAGAATGGGAAGGGCTATCACAAGTGTCAGCCTGGGGTTTCTGAGGGGAAGGAGGGGACCCTATCAGACACTTCAGACTCTCCTCTTGGAGGGAGGCTGCATCTGTGTGTGTGACTACCAAAGGTCCATTTATCATTGGCTGGTGGCATCATCTCTCCCAGGGTAGGGTCCAGCTACCCTGAGGTGCTCGAGGCATCTCGTCCCTGAAATCACTGGCTCTCCCCAAAGCAAGTCCTGGTGAGGAGATGAGGAAATGGCTCCAGTTTAACATGCCTCATCGAACATGGTGACATTAATGTTATCTTTAGGACATCTTTCTGGAAGAGGATTTAGTGTGCCCCCTGAACATATGGGGTTCCACTACCACTCTTCTTTATGCTTTGTATTTATTTAATTTAGGGCTGTTGCCTTTGGTGGTTTATCTCCATTTTCCTATGGAATGTGTCATAAATCCTTTAAACACCTATACCTGTACCTCATTAAACACATAAGTGAGTGTGGCTTTTACAAAGAAAACTTCAATTTTACTAAAGAGAACCATAGCTCTCCTGGTCATCTACTCACCAAAAATAAATCTTATATTTCTTGCTGATAATTCTCCGGTCCTTCCTGGACAGATCTGACAGGTAAAGAAACGTCTGGGATGCCAAATAAAAAGAGAATGCAAAACTGTACTTGGATTTCTTGCATAAAATACAAAGGAGAACTTTACACATTTCAATTCAGCACCTCCTTAGGGATTAAGTTCTTTAACAAGACGTTTAATTGTGCTTTTCCCATGATACCTTTAAAAATCCTAAGATTTCCTTAGAATATTAAGGATTGGCTGATGTGGGAAACCTAATGTTTCTTAAATCTCAAGAATTTATTTCCCAGTTTTCAGTGATATCGACTGTGTGGTCCTAGAATTACAGGGTTGAAACTGTGCAGTTCACCTTCATACCCCTTACTGGATACAACACTATCATAAATACAAGCCGGAAAAAAATGAGCTTTACTCCTAAAAGATTTTATGTACATAACTGGGAAGTTTTTCAAGGTACAGCCTGCAAATGAATCTTTTCTTCCATCTGGTTGGATCCCTTCCTCCATTTTTTTTTTGTCCACAATCAGCCACTTCAGACCCTGAGAGCATTTTAATGCTGTTCTTTTTACTTCTCTCACTCCCTCCCTCCAGAAGAAGAGTTCATTAACTGAGCAGTGCTTTTAGTATGTGGTTAAGTTTCACCTAAAATGCCCCCTGGGTAAAACAACCAGGACCTATAGCACAGGGAACTGTATTCAATTTCTTGATAAAAAAAAGTAAAATTAAATTAAATATAAAATAAAAAAAATTAAAAGCCCCCTGGGAAATCTGACTTCCCGAATTAAAAAAGCTACTAAAGGAAACTGGGGCATTGCTGAGGTCGTATCGACTCCCGAAGTTCCTGTTGTCTCGGAGCCTGGCCAGGCAGAGGTACCTTAGTCCGGATGACGTTCTTGTCACTCTCAATGTCTGGCATGGTGTCGAAGTCACTCTCCTCCACGGAGCTGTCGGAGTCCGACTGGCACGGCTGCCCGCCGTCGGAGGAGGATGCCTGCCTGCCCGGACTGGAGCTGGACTCATCTGAAACGGAGAAGCCTCATCTGCTTTCCCCAGCCCAGAAGAACCCACGGAGCCCACTTCTCTCGGCAAAAAGCACAGGACTAGCTCATTCTTGAAAATGTCGTGTCGGTCAAACCGATTCCTTACCCACAACACCTGTTCTTTCTCTCCATTCCTCTTCAGTGGACTTCTAATCTTCCCCTTCTCCTATTTTTACATTTAAATGGTCTATTTCTAGGGTTGAATACATAATATAAAGGCATCTGCTCTGTTAACTATCTAGATGCAAAAATATGCTTATATATCATGTTTCATATTTTAAAATATGAGCATAAATATATAAACAGACACATGCACATCGTTATGTATAGCATCTACCATATATATGTGTAAGCACGCACATATCCAGCAGCTGTACATGTCTCGTGGCTCAAGTATTTATACACAGAAATTCCCCCACATGCTGTATCTATAATTATATAATGAAAACAACATTCTCAGGAAGAGAATCCTTGTGTTCCCGTGAATGTTTCCCGGAGCAGATGGGAATTTGTGCAGCTTAATGAGCACACGAGCCGAGCCTACCTTCCACTTTATTCCTTCTGCTCAGTGATTAAAAAAAAAACCCTGTGCTCGCAGAGCCAGAAATAAGTCTCCAGCACTGAGCCCACATGCTTCTTGAAGTTACAGAATGACAGGGCAGGAATACAGGATTCCCAGCCCCTCTACACTGACAGTTTAAGGCACACCATTCATCGGCCCCCAAGCGTCATGGAAATGCATGGAAGCATCAATGCACTCCAACGCTAAGGAGACAGGGATCAGAATTCTGTCCCTTCCAGGCCACTGAATGAGTCCAGGGGCTGCCATGTGAATGACTGGGTGGCACTGAGCAGGTTTAGTTATGGAGTTAGCCAAAATGCAAGATTGCTAGGCTTCAGCCAGGTTCACCTGCAGCACACACAGCCTCAGTCTTCTGATCGCCCTTACTCCACTGCAACCTGAGAATGAAACAGCTGGTCAATTGATGTCGGGCTCCCTGACGTCAGACTCTGACACATCTCTCATACCCTAAACTCAGGCTGGGCACAAAAAAAGTCCCCATGGGAGTTGATGGCAACTAGTGGAGAAAATTCTGCTCAAGTGGGGCTAAGCAGACTGGAGAAACAGAACAATAGGACTGGAGAAAGTTAAGAGCTGGAAGGAACCTTCCAGATCATCCAGCCAATTCATCTCATAAATAAAACACAATCTCATACAATGAATGCCTTGCCCACTCTCCCAGTTTATTAGTGGCTGGAGGGCCCTTTGTATCCTGTTCTCTGGAGAACCAGGAAACACTTCCCTGAATGGACTCTTGTCAGAAATACCTATTGCCCCATAATTGCTTCCTTCAGGGGTGCTGGCAGCAATGGGATGTGACGCTGACATATTTCCAGAGCCTGTTGAGAAGAAAAGCAGAGAGGCGAACAGTTTATGTCCAGCTGCTAAAATGAAAGAACACCATTCAAAGTAGTTTGAATCATCAAGCCATACGATTTTAAATTTGATTTTCTTTTCACTCTAATATAGGAGTCCACAGGCCAATTCTAAGGTCTGCAGGCCAAATCTAGCTTGCCACCTGTTTTGGTATGGCCCTTGAACTAAAAATGATTTAAAAATTTTTTGAACAGTTGGAGGAAAAAATCAAAAGAAAAATAATATTTCATGAGAGGTAAAAATGGAAATTTCGTATTCATATAGAAAGTTCTACTGAAACACAGCCACTCTCATTTGAATATGTCTGTAGCTGCTTTTGGCTACAATGGCAGCATTGATCCATTGCAACAGAGACTGTAGGGCCCACAGAACCTAAAATGTTCACTATTTGGCACTTTACAAAAAAAAAAAAAAACGTTGCTGATGCCCTCCTGACAGTACTGCAGAATCACAAGAATGAAGGAGCATGGGTCCTGGAATCACTGGAGGAAGGCCACCACTGAACAGAAACACCTGTGTCGTTCAGCTGTTAAGGCACTGTAATCGGAAGTTTACTGGGTCACAGCCGTTAGCAGTACCCTAACTATAGGCAGGGTAAGTCCCGATAGGAAGGAAATCTGCACTCCTTGGAGCAAAATATAATGACAACATGAACTAGGGATGTACGGGAATATGGGTTATTTCGGGATATTTCAGAGGTAGAATAGACGTATCTGTTGCCAAATGGTTGCTGGCAGTGAGAGAAAAACAGTCCCTAAGATGATGCTCCTCAGGTTTTTCCAATAAAGTACTCCTTGTAGCAGACAGAGTGAACTCATTCCTCTTAGAGGCTGGGGGTGTCATCTGGGGCTGCCTCACCACAAGCAGCTGAGAAAAACACCTCCCAACCTCACTGGTTATTTGGAAAGATGCTGTCCCACCGAGCGTATCCATTTCTGAGAATTAGGCAGGGCTGGACAAAGAGCAGAAACCACAGGGAAGCAGGCATCAAGGCAGTTTCTCTGACTCATCTCCAGGGTCCACAGTCATCTGTGAACATGCCTGAGAACGTTTCTCTGCTGCCACCTAACTTTTTTTTTAATTGAAATATAGTTGATTTACAATATTGTGTTAGTTTCAGGTGTATAGCAAACTGATTCAGTTATATGATATTTTCTGGTTATTTTCCATTATAGGTTATTACAAGATAGTGAATATAATTCCCTGTGCTATACAGTAGGTCCTTGTTGCTTATCTATTTTAAGTATAGTAGTTTGTATCTGTTAATCCCAAACTCCTAATTTATCCCTCTTCCTCCCCTTTCCCCTTTGGTAACCATAAGTCTGTTTTCTACATCTGTGAATCTGTTTCTGTTTTGTATATAGATCCATTTGTATCATTTTTTTTAGATTCCACATATAAGCGATACCATAACATTTGTCTTTATCTGTCTGACTTACTTCACTTAGTGTGATAATCTCTAGGATGCTGCCTCCTGAGCTTTGTCAAGGATCTGGGATATTGTCAGGCTGCTGGGAATTTCAGTAAAGTATCTTCTTTCTGGGAGGTCAGATTGCTTGTATCACACCCCCGGCAAAGACATCTGTAAGTCAACTGGTCAGCTTCACATACTGTTGCAGAGAAAACCGTTTTCAGTGAAGACGCATAACTGAAGATATTCTATAATATCCTCACTGTAAATATATTTCCATTTCTTCATTGAAAACATAGTTTGCTATAGTTTACATTAATGCCACAGTGTGCAAGGCTTGTGAAAGAACCAAAAGCCTCAAACAATTCGTTGTTTGTCAGTCAACTCTTCATCCAGATTTCAAACTTCACTTCTACCAGTGGGCAGTAAAAAACACATTCCCAGTTTTGTGAGCGAGTCTGTAGGCTTTATCATGTTTTTACTCTGTGTGCCTATTCATTTCCTCCTCGAAGGAAAATAATTAAATCCTAAGTTCAAAACATTTAGCCAGGTGATGAGAGACACATCACTGGCCTCGGAGACTCAATTTTCTTCCCTCTCTTGGTCGCTTAGTCAGGTGTTGGCTCAGCTGGACAGCAAGGCCTTTGGCTAATGCAGCATTCCTGGCAGGCAAAGCTGTTCCGGGGCTTTCACAATGCAGACTCCCTGGCATGGTTCCTAGGCTTGGAAACTCCTTGATACCATTCTTATTATTTAGAGAAAGTAGAGGTTCCTTGGCTTTCTTGGGCTCACCCATAAATATGCGGCATGGTACCAACACCATCTGCGCTTTTCATCCAACTTCAAGACACAGAGACAGGTTACTTTCAGACTCTTAACTATGAGAGTTTCAGTCTTTTGAGCACAGTAACAGAGTGATGGGAAGATACCAGGTACCGTTTGACTGACTTTTTTTTGGCCAAGGACAGATTTGGCCATAGTTACGGCATAGAGATTTGCTGCTGCCACTATTGACTGTAACTAGTACTACTAGTATTACCACCACCACTAGTACTGCTGCTACGACTAATGCCTCTGTTACTATCA